ATGGTCTAGCCGTTGTGATGGTGTTGAGTGATAGGCTGGACTTGATCTTAGAGGTCTTTACCAGCCTCAACAATTCTGTGATTCTGTGTGACTTCCATTTAGTGGGTGTGTAGTGGGTGGTTGGGTTTTCTGTGAGGTCAATACATGAGGAGTTATGTCTCCTTAACATGATTTTTCACAGTCTGCCACCCATATGCAGTCATGCACACCTGCGAAGTGCAGGACAAAAAGAAAAGACCTCCTCTCCTTCCTAACACCGGTAGTATTTTACTCCCGCACTGAGGAGCTCCATCCAATAGAGAATTTAGTACTGTATTTCTAGTTTTGTTGAAGGCCTCCTGGTAGCCTGGTAGCCTCCTGGTAGTCACATGTTCAGAGCAGGTTGCCTGCCAGAGTTTGCACACGAATGTTGTGCACTGTCGTGTGCCTTAAACATTAAATCATTCTTTTTTTCCTGGTAGCTGAAACTGAAGTCACATGTTCAGAGCAGGTTGCCTGCCAGAGTTTGCACACGAATGTTGTGCACTGTCGTGTGCCTTAAACATTAAATCATTCTTTTTTTTCCTGTGTGAAATACGTGGTTACTGAAGCCATTTGGAATAGTTTGCAGGAAGCACCACAGGAGAAACTCAAACCTCAGAACAGAATGTTCTGGCTTGGGAAACAAAGAAGTCTTACGTGCATTGCTATGCTAAATGGTGGCTTGTTTTTGATTTGGTTTTGAGGGGATTTTTCTTCTGGTGTGCTTGGGGTTTTTGTTCTTTTCTTTTTTCCTGTTTTTGAAAGTAATTAAGAGGCTTATGAATACATTCCAAAGGAGGAAAAAAAATGTACCACTGGAGGAAGGCAGAAAGAAAATTGTGAAAATGCATCTTCTGTGTAATATTAGCTGCCGTATTGGTTCTGGGTTTTCTTGGAGTTTTTTGTTTGTTTTTTATACATATGAACCAAGACATTTCCTTGGAGAATAATGAATATGTTTACCACTTCAGAGGGATAAGTAACAGGAGGCATCATATCTTACCTGTTTTCCATTCTCTTATCTGTTAAAAGCAAATACATAACATTTAGTTGTAATAAAAGGCCATAACACAGATAAACAGAAGGGGTATAAACATGTGTTAATGTTTATATTCAATATTATTCAATATTCAATATTACTTATCTGTGAGACTAATGCAGTCCAAGCCAAGTGCAGTTTTGGGGAGCTATGTCACAGTTTGCAGTGTTCTCTCTGGTCTCTCAGTCTAGCACTGAGGGGAATTATTTGGTGATTTAGTAACCAAAACAGAAAAGACTCAGCTTTCTTCCTCTGTGGAAGATACCAGCGAAAATCACAGAATCACAGAATGTCAGGGTTTGGAAGGGACCCTGAAAGGTCATCTAGTCCAGCCCCCCTGCCAGAGCAGGATCACCTACAGTAGGTCACACAGGAACACGTCCAGGCCGGTTTCAGAAGTCTCCAGAGAAGGAGACTCCACAACCTCCCTGGGCAGCCTGTGCCAGTGCTCTGTCACCCTCACAGGGAAAAAGTTTTTCCTAATGTTTTTGTGGAACCTCCTGTGTTCCAGGTTGTACCCATTGCCCCTTGTCCTGTCATTGGACGTCGCTGAAAAGAGCCTGGCTCCGTCCTCCTGACACTCCCCCTTGACATATTTATAAACATTAATAAGGTCACCCCTCAGCCTCCTCTTCTCCAAGCTGAAGAGATCCAGCTCCTTCAGCCTTTCCTCATAAGGGAGATGTTCCACTCCCTTCATCATCTCTGTGGCTCTGCGCTGGACTCTCTCCAGCAGTTCCCTGTCTCTCTGGAGCTGAGGGGCCCAGAACTGGACACAATATTCCAGATTTGGCCTCACCAGGGCAGAGCAGAGGGGCAGGAGGACCTCTCTCGACCTACTAGCTACTCCCCTTCTAATACAGCCCAGGATGCCATTGGCCTTCTTGGCCACGAGGGCACATTGCTGGCTCATGGTCATCCTGCTGCCCATCAGAACCCTCAGGTCCCTCTCTCCTACGCTGCTCTCCAGCAGTTCAGTCCCCAGCCTGTACTGGTGCATGGAGTTGTTCTCTCCCAAGTGCAAAACTCTACACTTGTCCTTAATATCCAAAAGAGTAATAGTTTGATCCAGCTGCTATGCAGTTGTTTTGCCAAGTACAAACCTGAAGTTCATTTTTTATTTTTTTTGGCTGTGGTTCTTGTCTAGTGTGTGCAAATAGCCAGGTTCCCTGAGACTTTGAACTTCTGTATTGTTCTGTGCCACAGTGAAAGTATTTGCACACAATATACTTTGCAGAGTAGTTAGTGAACCCTTTTTGAACATGAGTAACTGGCTTTTTCTTTTGTCCCTCTGCAGAACCTGCTTTGTGGTTGTATGTTCTACCAGGAGAGTATATATGCAGGGTCATGGGATTTGCCCCTAACTGTTCCATGAAGTTACCCTGGAAAAAGGACTTGGAGTTGTTTCCACCTTGCTGCCAGTATTGCATTTGTGGTTTTTTTTTCATACTGAAACATAATTCAACTCCTAGTGATATCACAATTCTCTGCAGATCAAGTGAAAGCACTGCCCTTTTTCTTCTGTCTGAATAGCTGGAGCTTCTCTGAGAGCTTCCCTAGGGCTTTTTTTTTTTTTTCCTCCAGCTGTGGTGTGATTAGACTTTAGGTGGTATCACACGTATTACCAGGTTGTAAAAAGGATCCTCCACATACTTTTGGAAGTCATTGCTGCAGAGTTCAGACAATGTCCCTCCCTCATGTGGGTAACTTACCAACTCCTGAGCTAAACTGAGTTGCTACCTAATGTTTGCTTTCTGTGTTTATTTTTCTCCCTCAGTGGGAGATCAGTGTGATGTGGACCCTGTGCATTGACTGTTTTAAGACAGCTTGACGTAGGGAGGTGAACTTAAGTTGAATAGTGAATGTGCAGGGTCCCTGTGTAGGCTCCCGAGAGTGTCTAGATTTCCTGGACAATCTATTACAGCTGTTTTTATGGCCATGCATAAGATGAATGACTGCGCTTTTGCCAGCAGACCTTAATTGTGGGTGAAAACTGCACTTAGTGTCATTGATGGGCGCAGTAGAATAGAAAGGGCTCTCTTGTCTCCCTGTATGGACTGGCTTTACAGTGCTAGGGGAAGTAGAGATTCAGGGCAGAAGAGAAGGCAGATTATTTCTCTCTGTAGCTGTAGATGTGACAGAACAAACATCTGCATATGTGTTAAATAAGCCAAGTACTTGAGGTAGCTGTAGTCAAGAGTTCCTCCTATACTCATGGCTAGGTGTGTAGACCAGGTGTTAGGCATTGCTCTTTTGAATATCACTGTGTGCTGTAATGGAATGACAGCCCTAACCGATTGGCATCCCTTGTCTGTTCTTCTCAGAGACTTTTTAAAAAGCCTTTGGTAGGGAGAGAATTGTAGTGACTGGTGTGAGTCAGTCCCCCAGCCAGCTGGCAGCGAGTCATGTTTTAGAGGCTAGGCCTTTGTAAGCTGAGGAGAACAAAATGATCCATCTGTTCACCCTCCTGTGGGTGTGTTTGCATTCATAAGAAGGAAAACTGAAAAAATGTGCTTATCCTAGGCTCTAGGCACCTTTTGGCAGTTACTCTAATAACATAGTTCAGAGTGATAATCAGAGCCAACAGTTTTTAACACAAAATTTTCTAACTCAAGAGCAGATGTTAAAACAAATAAAATACCATCGTCTTCACTTGGGGGTGTTGTGGAAGAACATACCTCATTAAACATTTCACTTTTCCTAATTTCAGTTAATAAAAGGATATGTTTTTTAACAAATTCCAAATTTATGGAAGTTGGAAGAGTTAAATGATAGGTGTTTCATCTAATGTCCTGGAGGAAGCACCATTCTTATGTACAAGGGAGTGATGGCTGTCTTCTAGATGGGCAGGCTTTGATGACAAGGTGCATCTACATTTTTCAGGAAATGTTTAGAGTCTACCAAGGAACATTGGCTGCCATGGAGCTTGGTCCATGAAACCAGTTGAAATCAGTTCAGCTGCTCCAAGTAACTAACTTCACCTTCTACCTACTTCTCAGTCAATATTGTCTTGTAAGTCTTAGAGATCACAGAAGGGTAAGAGAGTATGGGGGTATTAATTGTCTGTTTATAGTATCGTCCTGATACTTACTTGCCTCCTCCAGGATCTTCAGTGGTATTTTTGGAAGAAAATTTGTCAGACGATGTTGTGTGTTTAAAGAGCATCCATGAAAATATTCTGCTGTGGTCACTTTGTTACAAGCAGGTTCTGGAGGGGGCCGGGAAAGCTGTATCTGATTAGTGCAGCAAGTGCTGCATGCCTGTGTCTGGACAGATCCACAAGCCTGTTTATTCTTGTTGTCTGTCTATCAGTCTTTTTATTTTATTTTTTATAGTGTAAGATAACAAAAATAGATTATACTGATGCTCCAGTGGAGTCTTTTAAAAAATATGTTTGTCCCCCTTTGCACAGAAAAGGAATGATTGCGTAGGCTCCGTGAGAAAACTTGGAGGAGCTTGTGTGTGCTCCGCTTGATTTGCTGATAAATGGACAGTCTCACAAACTCCAGCGTAGTCACTTAAGTTCGTTTGGGAAGCAGAGATGCTAAGAAGAAATTGAGCATGTTAACTGTTCTGCTGACACTAGCTTTCGTTCAGAAATAGTGTTTTACAGAAGAGGAGGTGAAAATGCTTTCTCATACTAATAACTGGTATGGTCCCTCTAAGTGTATAATCTGTGTGATCCTAAATAGAAAATCAAGCTCCTGAAAAATTATCTGGCATTTACTTTGCAGGATATGCCCACTGGAAGGGTCAGGTGTTAAATTCAGATGAACTTCACGAACTGTATGAAGGACTTAAGCTGAACAAGGTGAACCGGTATGATTATGTACTCACAGGTAAGAAGAATTTGTTCCTTGGTAGTCCCATGATGTAAGGAAAAGTAAAGAAATACAAACCATATCCCTTCATTTTCTAACACAAGCCATTACATTTTTCTCTCATTTGATTCTTCCTGCAGTTTGATCTGTATATTACAGTCTCAACTGCTTGTTTTGTTTAGTTTGAAACAATGAGCGTTCTCCAGCTTGAAGGTTTTAATTGAGTGGATAAATTGATCCCCTTATGTAGTTTACAGACTTGTACAGGCCAGTCATGTACAGGCTTCATTAATGTTGTGGGAGTGCCTCTACTGCAAAAAGGATCAGGAAAAGTATTATTTTTAAATTTATTATGAACACATAGATTTAACCCTTTCTCCTAAATTTGCTATACTGTCACTCCGTGGTACTACAGCATGATTTTATATACAGTTGTCTGTCCTTCTTTTTTCTTCTTGATCTTTAAGGATTAGTGCCTTGGATACAGAGAAAAGTAGAAGCAGGTTTAGATTTTGGGTTTGTCCCTGTCATATCTCTTTGATTTTTTGCTGTCATTACTATGTAACTCCTCTGAATGGATACAGTTCTGCAGGACATAATGGCTGTGCAGTATTTTCCTTTGCTTGCTACTCAGTGCAAAGTATCTATAAATATAGGCAAAAGGAGAGCTTGTATGTGCAGTTTATATTAAAAACTGCTTCTCCTCGAATTCCTGTTTCTCAAATGTAGATTACTGATTGGGTTTCACCTCAGTAGGAGAGATGCATCTGGTTTAGATTACAGTATCAATTTCTTAATAGTGGTGAACAGTCACTTGTTAAAGGTAAACAGGAATATATTGCCAGATTTGCGTGATTTCATGGCTTCCACATGTTGTAAAGTGCTTTATATGCCGAGAATACTGGAGACCTTAAGAGTATGGGTTATAACCCCAAAGCAGTCATTCTGGCTTGAAGAGTATGGCATGTCTGAAGACTTATTGTCAGGTTTTTCAGGGAGTATCTCCAAAATAAAGGAGACTAAATAGAAAATAGACTGAACTAAGGTTAAGAAATTTAATTGCGGCATAAATGGGTTCTTTGTGATTGCAAAATAAACAAACCCCCTTTCTTTTCATGAGGACACAGAGGACATTTCCAGGAAAAGCACACTGTATTGTAGAAGTTTTCAGGAGATGTTAGGATGCAAAAGTTTATAAATAATCTTTGAGTATTCTTTTAGCTTAAATATTCCTTTTTTATTTTATTTTCTACTCTTGGAAAAGACCCAAAGTCCTTTCCTATCACTGTCTTATAGTGGCAAAGTGGATGCAATAGATGAAAAATGGTAGAAGGAAAACCAGAAATCTTCAGTAAAAAGAATATTTTGAGGAAAAAAAATAAGGAATATTTATTAATAGGCCTCTTAAAATAGGATTTGTGGATAGGTAGGTCAGTGTGCTGTTCATGTTTGTTTAAAAATCTCATTTGTTGTAGCTATTTTTCAATATGGACAAAAAGAAGGCATGAGAAGAAAATGACACTAATTTCTTGTGATCTAATAGCACTCTCAGTGTTACAGTGTTCAGTTGTGCTGTGGCTGAACTTAAAATTCAGATTTTTCCATTTGAAGCCAAAAGACAAATTTTTCAGAGAGAAACAACCATTCACTGTAGTGCACAACTGTATTTTGTATGTCCAACAGTCTGATTATTCAAGCACTGAAAACAAATGAATTTGTCAGCAGGTGGGGTTTGACTGTAGTTGTATATCTGATGACTGTAGATATCTTGGTTGAGATGGAAATTATTATCTTTAGGCTGATTATACAAAATAACTCTTTGTTAACTTTTGTGACAGTTAGTTACTTCACATACTGGTTTCATTTACAGTAAAACACTCAAGGGAGAAGAGAAACTCCAGTACAGTGTAATTTGTTTCAAAAACTTCTGTCAGTAATGTTACTTATGCTCTATTTTTTTTTTTCCCAGCCAGTCTATCATTGTAAACAAAAACCTTTGCTTGGCTTTTTCTGGCTGATTGTCAGCATTTCATAGACATAAGACAAAGCATTTTGGCCAGAAATCTCGGAAGTTTTTTCCATTTCTCTGCAACATCTAAGAATTGGTCAATTTCAAGAGCAAAGAATAAAAAAAAATTTTAAAATCTCCAAAGTGTAGCTTTAAATACTTTGGTAGAGCGGGTATTTTCAAGCTAAAAGTTTGAAGAAGCTGCCTTTCTAAACATAATATTATTAAATGAACTAAAATCAATGGAAATCAAATTATCGGTTAATAAATGTTGTAAATAAAGTTAATACCTAAAATAAATATTTAAATAAACATCTGTAAAATAAAGGAATTAATTATTAAATATAAATATTTTGGTGCTAACACTGTGATTAGGGCCTTGAGATAGAATAAAACGTATTTCCAGCTTAATTTGCTGCTAAGCCTAAAATGAGGAATTTCATTAGTATGTTGGCCGTTGCTCTGAAATACTCAGGATTATTTCTCCAATGCATTAATGTTTGTGTTGGTGCAGTCCATACATTAGTAATAAAAAAAACACTGCTTCAAAACAGAGCATGAGAAAAGTATATGGAATTTTAAGTATTTCTTATTTACTGCATGATAAATAGTACTGATTTGGAAAGCTGTTTTGAAGTAAAGGAACCTTTTTGCTTTCAGCCTGACCTTCTTGCAAGTATGTTCAAGCATTTTGACGTTGTACGAACCCTTCATATGTAACATACTTAGTAAATGAATTTTTAAGGTTATATTAGTAGCTGTGTAAGCACACTCTCAATTCATCTTCCACCTAGTATTCCTGAACGAAATACTAAAATGCATTTGTTATAAAAATACTTTGTTCCAAAGAATGAGAATTATGCAACATTCCTATCCAAAATTTAAAAAAAAAATAATTCAGCATCCATGAGAACAGACTTCAAAAGTGTCTTTTTCTTCCCATAGGGTATACAAGAGACACGTCGTTTCTTGCAATGGTGGTGGATATTGTCCAGGAGTTGAAGCAACAGAATTCTAACCTAGTATATGGTAAGGATGTGTATTATAATCCTTTCTGCTTCATCACTGTATATGCCCATTATTTTCATATTTTAAGATGAAAACACCTGATACTACCAACATTTCACAACCATCTTGTGCTCTGATTTGGCTAAGGCTCCAGTGAAGTTTTTTTTCAGCATTGCTTAAGTTTTGAGGGTGTTGCTTTTTTATCTTTATGATTTTATGCCTTTCAGTGCATTTCTTCCATTTTGCTGTCCGAAGAAGAATGTGCCTTGAGGGCTCATAGTCTGTATCAAAGAAAGGCTTGGGAACTCCCAGCCAGCTCTTGCTGTTCGTAGCTCAGAGGCCTAGGCCATAAGTGCTGATAGCTCCTTGATTTCTAAGTCAGTCAAAAGCAGAGTGGACTCTCCTGTGTTTCTTGCTGTGGTTTCTTGTTACATCCCAGGAGAAGTGTCTTACTATGCCTTATAAGCTTCATAATTTAGCTTAAACTCAGGGTACTTTTACCTCTGCTGCCCTCTGCTAAGATGACGTAGGAGCACTCAAAGAGCAACAGACTTTAGCAGCTGCTGTCATTAACGCGTCACGTCAGGCTTAAACCCATGAAAAAAGATTTTTCCTGTTTCCTTCCTGACTCGTGTTTCGGGGCTTGTGAACAGAACCAGCGTAGGCCTGAATTGAGCAAAACATTTAGTGACAGAGCAAAGTCAGTGGGGACTTAGTGGAATAAAAAGCTATGAATGATGGTTTGAGCCTCTCACCTTCAGGTTCAGTAAACTGTGTGGTCAGGAAATGTCTAGAATGGTTCACAAGATCTGCGTGATGTAATACTGTGGAGCCCAATGTCGGACTTAAAATTAACAAAGAACAGTTCTCATTTAGAAAAAATGTAGCAAAGATAACTTGATGAGCTCAGGTTTTATTGCTTTTTAGGCTTCATTAACACCGTTGTATTGACAGGTTCTCCAGACCCTTGTACTAGTAAGTGAAAGCTAAAATCTCTGTCAGAGTATGAGCAAAAAGAAACATCTAGCTGTGTAAAACAGGAAGGAAGTGATGGTGAGAACACAGCTACGCTAAGATCTTTTATATTTAATAGGTTATAATGTGAAGAAAATACTTTTGAAATGTAAAACAAGTTACCCTCTTTACTCATATAAACTTCCTAAAATACTAATTAGACATTGATTTGATACCTTTGAATTTATTTTTCTTTTTTTATCTTGTCTTGTTAAAAGTTCTTTTATTACAATGAACAATGTTCCTTTTTCAAGTACAAGGCTGGGTTCTTTCCATCCTCCCTTTGAGGGCACTTGGAATATGTTGTTAATACTGCTGATGATTCAGAACCTGTCCCGATTGTGTGGTAATATTATTAAACCGAGTGTGAGTTTATGTACTTTGGCATGGATTTTCTTCTTGTTTCATTATAATACGCATAGTTTTTGTATGTGTACAGACAGCATTTTAGTGTGTATGTTTGGCATATGTCTTTTTATGTTAAAGTAAAAATAGAACTCTTTTCACAACTGTTAGCTTCTCCCATGTTTCTTCCCCAGTATGCTACTCTTCCAGAGTTTTGAGTTGAGGGGTGAAAGGGAGGGCTCTCTGTGTTTTCCGTAACAAAAGCCTCTTTGCTCACAGCAGTCACAACCTCTTTTCTTTAGCACCTTGAAACATAACCTGGAAGCAGGTAGGAGAGGGCAACTACAACCCTCTAACAATTATTTAAGATACATGACCTACTCTTTCAGAATCGGCAGCCACCAATTACAAATTTCAGGTCAAGTGTTCTCCAAGAGCTGTGAGAATACGTAGACTGTCAGGTGCTCAGTGCTGTTACATAGCCACTCGTGGTGGTGCAGACCCCCTGCGCCACATTATGATGTCAGGACCAGTCAGCATGGTATTCTGATTTTGGCGACAAGTACGGTGAGTTGGGACATCTGGTATTTTCTTGTCCTGGTTACAGTACAGTGAGTTGGGGCAATTGGGCACTCCTTAACTGTATCTGAAACTCCTGTTGTCTGGAAACTGTACCTGAAACTCCTGCTACCTGGATCGTGGCCTGCCCTGGAAGGTGCCAGAATCACCTGACGAGAATTGTGGCCAGAATGGAAATATACTGACCAAAGTCAATCATCATCTTGTGATCCTATAAGTAGTATCCTAAGTGAGACCCTTTGAGCTGTTGGAGATTGCAGCAGGCTGTGACCCGGTACCTCCCTCTGAGTTGGGATGTCTCTCAGGGTAGATTTTGCAAGGATTTCAGACAGTAGAGCTCACAAGGATTCCCAGAAGTAGGTTTTGTGAGAGTTTCAAAGAGTAGATTTCATGAGAACTTCAAAGTATAGATTTCACAAGAATCTCAAAGAGTAGATTTCCAAGATTGTCCTCTGATAGATGCCAGCAAAGAAAAAAGGGTCAAAAATTGTTTGCTGACAAATGCTGACAGAGGAGAATAGTAGTAATTCACTACAAGTAGATTTTGCAAGGTTTCAAAGATCATTTGTTACCAATAATTTACTACAACTAGCAAGGAGAGAAGAATATTGATCCTAGGTTAACCTCTATATATGATTTGATTTAGGCTCTATCTATGTGTGTGTAATTCGATGTAGGAAACTTTGTAGTGTTGATTATAGCAAATTTTATTAAGTCATTCAGATAATTGGCCGATGATTAACTATTGTTCAAAATCACATAACCTAATCCCATTGTCTAACATAATAGTGTTAGTAAATCTCATATTGCTGCTATCTCAAAGTTATGTAGGGTCCATAATCACGCATTTCCCGACCGATATAGTAGCTCAGCAGGACATTTTCTTTACCCTTTGTATTCCTTTCAACAGTTGACCAAGTCTGGGACTGAGGTTGGATCTAGTCACAGCTAAGCCCTGTCAGGAGATTTTAAAGCAAGGGAGTCCATTCTGAAACTCATGACTAAACAGGAGGGTCTCCCTTACCTTTTTGCGACTCCAGTCTCAGTTTAGATCATTTTAAAACTATATTAACTGGATTTGTATGTTTCTTCCATGTAGTGAGTGAACCTTGCCATCAAACTTTTAAGTCACACTTTTACAAATTCATATTAAAATCACTTTTACTAATACCTTTGACAGTGATTCTTTAAATGGTCTAAGTCTTTTCCTCCAGAACAAATCAGCATAGTCAGCAGGGTCCTAAATTAGGATTCCAAGACAAGTGATTTAAGTCATTTAAAACACTCATCTACAACACCATTACTGTTACCTGAAACCCTTCTCTCCCACCAGGGTCTCTATAACTGTAACTCATTTCTAAAGCTAGATTTATTCTATTACAGTATGCGATCCAGTGATGGGTGACAAATGGAATGGAGAAGGCTCTATGGTTAGTACTTACCTTTTTGGATTCTCTGCATAGTGAATATTTGCTATATAAAGATTGTATAAAGATTTGTTAAATTTTAAACATCAAAACCAAGCTACTTTACCTAGGTGTGGCTTTGAATCTCAGCATCAAATAAGTTTGTACTTTAATTTCCTCTGTTTGAATGAGTTTAGTATCTGGGAGGCATGACGGCAGCGTAACTCTGGGATTATTTCTAACTCTCTGATGAGACAACAGGAGGAACATAGACCCTATCCACAGGAAAATATCCCCATTTCCCCTCCTTGTCTTACTGGACTTGGCTCATCTTCTGTCAAGTACTCTGTTTTGGCTGGTAGCCTGGCTGACATTATTAGTGATCGTGTGAGCTGACGTACCACTGGAAACTAAAGGAAGATGACTTAACATCGTGTGGGATCCAACAGCTGTTAGGCATTGGGCTGTGATACCAGACTGCATACAAAGAAGCATTCATTTTCAATCAAAACTAGCAAATAATTTCAGTAAAATTGCTGTGATGGAAGACATCAGAAATAGTATTTCATGTTTTCTTCTGCCTTAGCTAGTTATGCACTATGAATTCCTTTTCATCCTTGAACTTTTTACAGTTCACCTGGTCATAAAACATCATATGAAGCAGCAGTTAGTAATAAATTTTCCATTGCTTTTGTGTTCTGTTCTTTCATTTTACATCTGGTTTACTATTTATTGTCCTTGGGTTTTTCTAACAAGGCAGAGATCTAGCAGCTGTAGGATCATCTTGCAAAGCTTTAGCTCTTGGGAGAAGACATTATCATGGGGCCTACCTGTGTCTTTCGGATGTAAGAAAAGGTAGATGGAGGAAGAGGAGAATATTTAACATTCAACCCACCAACTCATTCCTGACATAAAAAGTAATAAAATAATTTAAAATACCTTGGTTTAGATGCGACCTAGTCTTGCATTTCTGTCTAAAGGCAGAGTCCCTGTGACATCATCTCTTCACCCTGGCAGCGTGAGTGAGCTCAGTATCAGTATGATGGGCGTTCTGGTGTGCTGCCTACTAGTTGACACCACAGCGGGGTTGTACCTGTTGCTAATACAATCGGAATGGGTGAAAGTAACACAGGGGCACATGTGTGCACACACCCTGCCCTGTGTAGCTTAGGAGGTTAACAGAGAACAGAAAACACGGACCAAAGGGGTTATTAATCCTGATGTAGCTAATGGGGTTCTGCCAAAGAATATCTGCTTATCTTATTAAATGTTTTGTTAAATTGAGCCACAGCAGGACTCAGGAAGGCGAGGTGACCGCTGTACCCATTTAACCCAAACTCGTAGCTGAGGTCCAGTGTGTGCCAGTTCAGCTGATGCTTTTCAGCTTTGAGTCTGAAGAGCATACAGGCTGGAGGGCTTCTATTATATCTTAGTGTATGTCACCTGCTAAGACAACCAATTTCCCTTTGCTGATGGGCTGTACTTAGCTAATGAGGATGGGATAGAGATGGAATGGGCGGGCAGAAAGGGAAGTGTTGGCTCTCATGACTTGAACAGCTCATTCCACAGGCAGAGAAATATGCAGGCATTTTGATGGACACAAAGAAAACACAAGAAAAATATTTTTAATGTCTGTATTGGAACTGCTTCATGGATTAAGTTGTACTGAACAAATTACAAATATGATTCCTGTTCACACGTAGGGATGTACAACACACCTTAAAATACTGCCACGGAAAGGAGGATGCAGAATAGCACATAGCAGGGATCTTACTTGCTCCTAAGCCCCACAATGCAACTAGTCCATGTGGACACATGCTGCTGAAGCAAAGGGCCTCTGTACTGCCAATACAACAGCAAAGTAGTTTCTTTTGGTGGTAAGGGTGTGAGAAAGGGTGCCCCACGTTGAGACGCTGGATTCCCTTATGCTGCTGTGTCACCTTGCTGAAAGGGAGCTCGAAACTTCTTTGTTAAGGCACCATCAGTTCCTTTTAATGCTGCCAGTTCAGGCCTGCCTGCTTAGTGGTGCTTCCCATCACCTCCAGTGAAGGAGGGGCAGTTGGGTGTACTGTCACCAGCCAGAGGATGCACTGACTACCACTTCAGGTACTGCTGCATAACAGTACACTGAGAGGTTACTCAGTGACAGTTAGTGGAGGGAAGGAGAGTTGCAGGCCCATATCTCAGATGCTGCTGACATTTGATACTGCTTCTTCTCCCTAGTACGTGCCCAAGGATCTCCTCCCAGTGTACAGAGATAAAGTTGTACCCGTTGCTGATATAATTACTCCTAACCAGTTTGAAGCTGAGTAAGTACTTATTTCCTTTTATAGCCAAATAAACTCAGGGTTAAAAGCAGGGGAGAATGATACCCGTTCTTTTATTTGTCCCAGCAGAGTGCCGTATGTATGTGTTGTGTTTTGGTTTTTAACTGTTACTTTCAAGTGATGCTTTTCAGCAAACCTCCAGCTGTTCCATATTGAAACAAATAAAAAATCTGGGAGTTATGTGAGGAAAAGATTTCTCTTGTTTTCTCTGGTCTCTCATTCTCATAATTACTTCTTGTTATCTCCGGAGGCCTGTATCTAGGGCACGTTGAAAAAAATACCTCTCCTCTCTGTCATTACCCATTCTCCAGAAGAATTTTATTATATGTCAAAATATCAGAACTGAAATAGTTTCACACAAACCCCCCAAATCAATTTCAGAAATACTACCATGACAGCATCTCATAGAAGTTAAGAATTTAAATGCGTACTGCCTGTCCTCTTTACGTAGCTGTGATTCCTTGGTCAGGAGATGTGCTACGTCACGGTCTGTCCCCCAAAGGAGAGAGAGCTGCTACATGGGGGATGGAGAGAAGACACTTGTGAGGGAATTTTACAGTACAGGGATGTCTACAGAAGGCAGGTTAGGACTGATGTGAGTCTTCCTCAGAAGCCTTGTGTATCTGTGCATGTAACTTTTAAAGACAGTGGTCTGGTAGAGCAGACTGTGTAGCTGCAAACTGCTTAGGCCAGCATGGTGCAGTCCAAGCCCTCTTTCTTTCAAAGAGTAAAGAAGGTGGTCATTGCCTGGATAACTTGTGCTATTTTAAGATTTCTGTTTCATTCTCAGGTTACTCACGGGCAGGAAGATTCACACAGAAAAAGAAGCTCTAGAGGTAAGTAGGCAAGGAGTAGAATGTGTAAGTTCTCTATCTGTATTCCTGCCTGCAGTGCTGCAGTTTGCCATTTCTCTTTAACCTTGAAGTCACTCTGGCTTCTATCCTTTCTCTCCATTTATGATTAAAGCTTGTGCACTCCAGGCGCAGAACACTTTCTGTTCTGGTGTCAGACTTCTGAAGAAACTTCCTTAAAGAACTCCAGAGAAAGGCATTACAGTGGTAATGAGTAGGTCTCTGTGAGCTTGTTTTCCTGCAGTGTAAGAAGGGCAGCAGCGGTTTGCGCTGTGGAAATAAAATCGGTTGGGGCGAAAATCCTGGGAGACTCTGGGCGCTGGAAACCTGCATGAGTCGCTCCCTCTGCTGTCTACATGCAAGTGGTGCAACAGCAGTGCTCGGAGTTAGCACAGCCGGTTCTCATTCTCCCACACAGACTGCTGCGCGGAATAGAATTTACTAACATTACAGGGGTTGATTTGAATACACTGAATCCTCTTCCTCAGAGTGTTTGCTGGTGTTCTGTTTCTCTTCCTTAAATTGACTCAAAGGGAAGGAGACCTGGGTTGCTTTTTCCACCAGACTGGGAGTGATGGCCTTCGGGTACTTCCTGGAGAAGGACAAATCCACACCATTGATAGCTGCTGTCATCGCCAAACAGAGATGATAGATGGTCTGCAGATATACTGCATTCATGTATAAGGATTTAGCCTTTTACACAACTGAAAAAAATAAGAAGGTGCAGATCTTGGTGATGAAGGACAAAACAGGAATATGGTTTTACTGATGTCTTGAGAAGGGCTGAGCTCTTTGTTTTGTTGACTAGTCAAGTGTTTTCATAATGAACTGATTTTATTTCTTCCGGTTTGGTTTTGAACTTTAAAGGAACACAAAATCTTTAAACAAACAGCAGCTGCAGTGGCACCCTGGAGAGCAGCTGGGATCTGTCAACCCAAATGTTTGTTGGTTTTTCCAGCCAGCAACGTCATGCAACGTGGGTTGATCACCATCGCTTCATGGCCGGAAGCAGCTCCAAAGATCTTGGCTCTTTTAATCCTCGTTCCCTGCTGTGCTGGGCGAGGGTGATGGTCTGTTCTTCATGCCACTATAGCTGCTAACTGCAATGAAGTTCTTTTATTTTTCTCCTCACCAGTGGAACCACAATCTTGAGAACAACACTATTAGCTGAGCAACCGTTATTTTTAGGTTTGCATATTACAGGTGCAAACATGAATTGCATGTGCCGGACAATTATACAACTTAGTTTTTTGACAGTTATGTTATAACTCTTGTTTGTGATGGTTTTAAAAAAACTCCTCTAAAGATATGGAATTATACTTAGGAATGGAAATATTTTTAAAATAGTTGCTTGCAGGATATTACATTTTAATCTGTCTGTCTCCGCAGCTGCATGTCATATCCTTCTAAGTAATAATCCATACTGGAATTTGTCCCCTTTGGAGGTGGTAGGAGCTCTGGCATCGATTTCCATGGTGACATGCCTTAATTCATTTCTTTAGCCAGACTGATGACAACAGGATAGTCTTCTAACGTAAAATTAAATGTGACATAATTTTAATGTAAAAGGGATTAAGTCTTACAACTAGAAATACTGGTGATTAGGTTCTCGGTGAATTGTGACTGAGAAATGAAATGGAGTTTAATGTTGCTTCACAGGTTGATTATGTCAGCATATGCTGGTAGATTTACTGCTTCTTTAAAACCAGACCTATGTCTGTGCAAAGACGTCTGACAGTTGAAGAAACCTGGGGGCTTAGACAGGAAAAAAAGCAATAGAGAATTAAAAAATAGCAGAAATAAATCCTTATCATTCAGCTGTTCATGAGTCATTGCTAGCCTGAGAGGATTTTTAGCTAAACTCTTTCAGGAGAATTAATATTTTATCTGTGTTTTATGCTGAACTCATTATTGAAGTCATTCTTTCTTCTGTTAAATCAAAATCACTTTTGTGGCAACCACTTGTACGTCAGAAGTAGATTATTAATGAGTTTAAGTGAGAAACACACAGAGTGGAAATAAGTGCGCAAAGGTATACATCATTCACGTGTGTAATTTGAGGTTTGAAACAGAATCAGAAAAGATTGACAGGCATACTTGTGCCACTGGTTTAGCTCTTGTAACTCTTCGTTTTTGCTAATTCTTAAAGTGGTAGCTAAAAAGACTTCATGACCTGGAGTTACTGGCTTTTGAGCAGGTGTTTCAGGATGCTGGCTCAGGTGCATGTGTCTGCATATTTGTTCTCTTGTTCTTTTGATACTGTGTTCTGGAAACATGATACAGACAAAAATTCTGATCACAGCTGAAACAGCATTCTTTTCAAGGAGCATCCAAAGATAACACAGAGATGCTTGTATATTTTAACAAGTGTATACATCTAAATGCGGATGGTTTAATTCCCCTATTTCAAATTAATTCCCCTAATTCTTCGACTAGAAACCTTTTTCTCTTTACAAAAGATGCCAACACAATGTCAAAAATCCTCAGTACTATGGATGATGCAAGGTTTAACCAACACCCATTGCAGTCAGTGATTCCTGCCTTTTTGTACATGGAAAGGTAATGGATATGCTCCATGCCATGGGACCAGAGACTGTCGTCATCACAAGCTCTGATCTGCAGGCACCTCTAGGAAACAACTACCTAATTGCTTTGGGAAGCCACAGAAAAAGTAAGCAATGAACTCCTTTCCTAAACTGTGCTTTCTTTTAACCTGTTTACCCTGTTGTGTGCTTTCAGAACTTTTGTGTAAAGTAGTTTGATCACACTCATCTGTAGTGTGTGGGAGGAGCTTAGATCCCTAAGTGAACTTCTCCTCCTACAGTGATACCAGAGAGTGGTAGGAGTGGGGCTGCTCTCTGAGAGAAGACAAGCTGGGAGCTGAGTGCAGCCATAGCCCAGGCAGAGCACTGCCCTTACCCACAGGGCCTGAGCCCACGGTATCTGAATAAGGTGAGGAGAGCAGGGGTGGTGGTGGATGAGTCCCATTGACAGTACAGTGATCATCAGACAAAGGTGAGACAACCCAGGTCCAAGATAATTTGGAAAATCCAGTCAGAACACTAGTACAAAGTTATGCCAACAGCATAGCTCAGGTTAGGGTGCTTGTGCCGGGGCCTGAACTTCCATGCAGCTCCTGGGCAAGTAGATAGTGGGTGCATGGGTGGGGGATGTCCTAAGTGAGGTTGATCAGAGCTGTTAAAGCGCCTAGTAGTGGCCCTGACAGGCAGTAGTGTTATAAAACAGGAACTTTGAATGTTGTGAATGCATTTATCAGAAGTACACAGTGTGCTGTTAGCAGATTGTTCCTTCCCTGATACGTTGTAAAATGTCCTTCTGCTTCTCTTTATATTCCCTTCAAAACATCACCGAGATTCACTGTGTGTCTGGAGTGTCGCACGATATTTTTGCATGAGAAGGGCATAGTTATGTGGGATGATATACAATCTTGTTTTCCTGTTCATCTAAGGGACCTGAATGCGAGCATTGCATTCTGGAGCACTGAGAGACCAGAAAAGCCTTGATGTTTAAAACAGATTCCACTAAGAATCAGTCAGTGAGTCTTAGCACTCAGTATATGCTATGTCTGGAATAAATCTGGCCATTCCAGTGGTGATTACAATATGGCATGTGGATCAGATATTCTCTGCTGATGTCTACAGCTGCTCTTGTGCCTCTATACAACTCAAGATACTCCATTTAGCATTCAGCGGTCTCCATAAATATGTAGTTTCCTGAGCAAGCTGCTGTCTAAATGAAAATAGGTGGCTCTCAACCGTTCATGAAAATGAAGGTGCTAGCTACCTGCTCCCTCTTATGTGAAGTATGTAAGTCATAAATGCTAGCCCAGCTTGCAAAGTTTTGAAAGGTTGCACTTTTCTAAAGAGCTGGTACAAAGTTTACGATACTCGTAGCATCTTTATGTTCCAGACGACACAGGAATTCAAATCTGGGGATCACTTTTAAATTATAATAAACGCTATTGTATTGATTGCTGCCTCTGTTACTTAACTGTCTATCTGTGTTGTAGCTAAAGCAGATGGTACCAAGATGACACAAAGAATTCGAGTGGAGTCTCCTAAAGTGGATGCTGTCTTTGTTGGAACAGGAGACTTGTTTGCTGCTATGCTTTTGGCATGGACACATAAGCATCCAAACAATTTGAAGGTGTGGGAGGAGTTATTTGTCTCTCTGCAAGTTTAGACTGCATTTGATTTTTATTACTTTTAATCTATGAGATTATTTAGAGGCTCTTCTGTTTTGGCTTATTTTCCTCACCTGAGAGGGGGGAAAAAGCAGAATTTCACTTTTGCCGAAACGTTTTAGCTTGTACAACTTTGGACAGTCACATTTCATTCATATGGATTTTTTAATTTTGCAAAATAAGATGCTCTCTCTGGAGAGATTGCATGCATGTTTGTAATTATAATTTTTACCCTCACTTCATAATAAGCACTGAAAATCATTTTTTTTTCAGATATGTTTTTCTGTTTCGTTCCCTTAAGCACTCAGAGTCCTCGATACGGGTGTGTGGTTTCTAATACCTATGTTGGGAGAAGTAAGAGAGTCTTAAGGTTTTTTTCCCCAAACTCGGTATTACATAATTGTCATCCTGTTTGCATCTTGTCAGTCATATTTGCCTCTTAATAGCAGTATTTTTGAAATAATAATATTAAACTAGGCAGCTTAAATTTTACTAAAACCTGAATATATTACATTAATGCAGGTGGCATGTGAAAAGACTGTGTCAGCCATGCAACATGTTCTGCAAAGGACCATTAAGAGTGCAAAAGGTAATTCCTTCAGACCGTGTTCCCTCGTTCTGTCTGGATTTGAAGAAACAGTCAGAGAGCTTTCTGGGTTTCCTAACTAAGGGCAGCCCTCATTCCAGAAGCAGCCAGAGCATTTACAGAATGAGAACTTGGTAGTCTGTCAGTGCGTGTTCTTCAGTGTCCTCCAAGCCTGTTTTTGACAACACTCGACTGAAGATGTCACTGTTCAGCTTGCAGTGGGACTCCAGTCATGCTGAGGGGTTCGACTGCTTTGCAAAACAGTGGCAGAAGAACTTGAGGAAACGCTGAGCCCGATGTGCAAGAGAGCTGGTTTTTTAAGCACAGCCTGCTCGCTTTTCCTTTAAGTTCATGTGTTCAGCATTGAGAAGGGTTTATCAACTAATAATGTCTGCTGTATTGGCTGTGTGTTTTATAGCTTCTCTCCCCGTGGAGTTCCCATGTCTTTTGGTTCCTGGGGCGATCCTGGTCTGTGGGTTCTCAGAGCATGTCTGTCACTTTCTAATTAACAGCAGAGCCGTGAGGTGGAGAGAGGTGCAGAAGAGGGGGTGGTAAATCACAGTGCTGGGTCTGCCACCTAGGAAGCCTTTAGTAGGAGCTAGTAAGGGAGATGGGAGGAGGGTGGAAAAAAAAGTGGGGAAACAGAACAGTGTAATTTGTTTCTTTTTATACTGCTGTTTTTAATGACATTCTAATGTCATCTTTTTAGTGCAAGCTGGAGAAGGAAACAAACCAAATTCAGCCCAGCTGGAACTGAGAATGGTCCAGAGCAAAAAGGACATAGAAAACCCAGAGATCATAGTGAAAGCCACTGTGTTATAAAGGCTGTATGTCTCCAAGAACGCACAATGTATCGATGTCCTCATTTCTTTCCTGTAAATTGTAATATTTGCCTTAGATCTGTGACAGAAACCTGACTTTCATGAAATAGTGCCCAGCATAAGCAGATATCCACTCTCAAACATATGTGCTGGCCTTGCTCAGTTTTAAAAACAAAACAGTTAGCGTGCATTGAAGCATATTACCAAGTATCAAAATGGCTGTGAAATTCACTTTGTCTGTGTAATTACCCAGGGCGAGAGAGTACAATATTCCTGCCTTGCCAGAGATTTTACATGCGAGTTCGCAAACGGAACGCTTGACTGACTGGAAAATACATTTCAAGATGGCATCTAGTGCCAAGAGAGCTGGCTCCATGCTCACTTCTCCTGGAGATACCTGGTGTTCAGTTATCTCGGCTGCTATGAACCTAAGCAGAGTTAAAACTACACACAAAGTTCTGGGTGTGTGTAGGAGTACTTTGAAGATGTTTGGTATTTAAGTACTCCGAAGTGACCTTGAGGTGTCCTTCATGTTACTGATCACTGCTCCTGTGTCTTGTCTGTGAACAGTTTCAGTTTTTGCAGGTACTGGCTGTTTATTTCTAATGTCTTTGAGTGCCCACATGATTTTCTTAGAAAAGCTGCTCCAGAAACATCTTCATTAATAAGATAGTGTCTTTATTCAGTAGCACTGGTGAGAAGTTTGTAGTTCTACCTCGGAGGCTAGGTTCGATTGTTTAGTTTGTAACTAAGGACAAACATTCTGTAAGGACAAAAGGGAAAGCAGCTCTTACACTGAAAGCTGGCTACCGAAGTTAGGTCTTCGTGGGTATTTACAAACGTAGGGCACTTCCACTTAACAACATTGAGCACTATCAGCAGGCTTATCAATGAAGCAATGTGCTAAAAGTATTATTTTTAGTTTAGTAAGGTTTCATAAGTTACATATATTTACCAAAAGCAGTGAAGCACAAAGTTAGTTTGTTCATAATGTTCATAAAGTCTCTAATTAGAGATGACAGAAAATCATCGTTAATGCATCTTTATTTCAAAATTCTGCTTCATAAGGCTTCAAAATAGGTTTCTTAATAATTTCAGCATCCTATACATCACAGCCACATATTATACCAGTAAATAGGCTGACAGGAACTGACCACTTGTACATCCATACGATTTCTGTGTAGGACTGAGGTTCTTGTGTCTCCCAATATATGAAGTCTAGCGGGTTATTAAATCCAAATTCAGTTGATGAGCTTTATTTGTCTCAGACAACATAGGGAGATTACAATTGCAGTTCTGCTTGCAGTGACATGAAGCAAGTTTGCCGTAGAGGAAAGGGCACAGTTTTTCTGGATAATCCTGAATATGCTCGGGAAACTCTTGCGTATCTCCCAGATACCTGTCCTACATGTTCCTTGTCACACCTGCCTAATGTCACTTGCATAGCTTGGGAATCCCTAGAAAAGGTATTTTGGAGATTGCTTTGGCCACTGAAGTCTTCTCTTATCCACTATTTTGATGGGTTTTCTGCCATTATAAAAGTTAATTGGTTTCACCTAGTAGAGGAGTAATTTATCCTTAGAGTGAATTTTTAGCTGAATAGATTTTTTTTCATAGAACAAGTTTTCATAATGAATACATTTCTGAAATCCCTCATTTTCGCTATCACTAAAGCAAATTAAGAGATGAACACGTTTTTGCAGTGAATGTAAGAGGCAGACTGCAGGCTTTCAGTCTGAGCAACTGACAATAATTTTATTTTCTCTTATGCATTTGGCATTAAAAATGAAAAAAAATATATGCCTTGAGAATTTAAAGGGAAAAGAAACTAACAGAAATTATCTACAGAATGTGACTCTACTGCCACAGTTTTTAGTAACCACTGCCATGAAGTACCTTTCTAGCAATAATAATTTTGGTGATATGAACAGTTGCTAAAATTTGCAGTCAGTAACAGAGATGAGCTACCCAACATGGAAAAAGACACAAACTGTCTTAACAGTGTGTATACCTATCTGATGGGAAGCAGTGAAGAAAGAGGAGCCAGGCTCTTCTCACTGGTGCCCACCGAAGGGATAACAGGCAGGGGGCGCAAACTGAAATAGAGGGAATTCCATGTGAACGTCAAAAGAATATAATTCACTGTGAGAGTGATCAGACAGTGGCACAGGTGGCCCAGAGGGCTTGTGGAGTCTTCTCCGTCCTTGGAGATAATCAAAACCTGACTGAACATGGCCCTGAGCAACTCGCTGTACTCGGCCTTGCTTGTGCAGGGGGATTGGACTAGATGATCTCCACAGTTTCCCTTCCAGCCTTTCTGTGAGGAACAACCAGTTGCCTTTCTTTGTGGCACTGTATTTTTTAAGTGATTTTTTTCTTTCTTTCTTCCCAAGATACAAACTTTCAGATAGGCTAGGAAATAGCTCAGTATTAATGTTTTGCCCCCTTTTTAGATAAGCTGCTTTTTGCCTGGGCAGTTGTGCCCAGAATACAGTTGCCTTTTTTGAGATAGTTGCTTTCAGCAAAGATATTTAAATACTGTAAGTGATGCATTTCAAGAGTTGAACACAAAAGGATTTTCACTATTTGTGGCACTGATTAAAGAAGTGTTGCGTGCCATATTCCAAACAAAATTGTGAGTTTATTTGTCTTTTAAAATTAGGCTGTTTTCACATGGAAGCGTGTAATCCCTACCATCCTCTTGGGAAGAAGGCATCACCGTACTGAGCTTCCCTGCCTGTACATATGATGGTTGATTTTGCACCATTATGCTTGACACCCTCACCCAGCTGTATCCAGTTTTGCAGCTCCTATGGGTCGCATTCAAAAATCTTCAGCTGGCCAAGCTTTGAGAACTCAAGAATTAGACGAATCCTAGGAGCAGTTCACATGCTGCAACTGGCATTTGGTCCCGTGGCTCCAACACTAGTTCTTAGCTGGGTCCTGAAGTGGCTCCTGGTGCACAGGCTCCTGTAGCTGAGACTGGGGGTTGCCCAGCACCCCCTGCACCAGCATTCGCTTCATTGCCACTCACCTAACATGGCCCGGTGTTGAAATCTGCATGGAGCCTATTTCGGAACCACATAGTGACCATCCCTGCATTAGTGCAGTGCAAAATTGAGGTTCTTCAGCCCTTCAGGGAATCAACAGGAGAGAGAAGCTCAAAATTGGCCCTTTACTTTTTTTTTTTTTAAGCAGCAATAAGTATGCAGTTGAAATTTGCCATCAGAGAAGCTCTACCTGTTGTAAGCATGTACTATAGAAAAGCCCTTTTTCATAAAGCTGTGAGACAGCATAATTTTTTTTGCCACTGAAAAAAAATACTCTTTCACAAGGGGATTGAGAGAAAGTCAAGGGCTCGTTTTCTCTGAAATGAAGAAGCTTCGAATTTAGGAAACTTAAATCTACCTTGCAAACAAGGTTTTATCTGTAAACCATAATCTTGCCATAAAAGAGAAAGTGACGTGTTTGTTGGAGCAGCTTATACCTGTCAGGTGTGATCTTCTCCCACTGCTTCAAAGAATGAATCGGTTCAATAAATCATACTTGTTAGAATGTGTACATATCCATGTTAAAAAAAAAAAGGAAAAAAATAATAGTAGTGTGTTCAATTTGCAAAAGTCCATCTTTTGCAGTAGCTGGACTCTGTAGCAACGGGCTGCCAGCTTCTTCTATGTAAGTCCCTGGGAGTTACTCACCTGACAGCTGTTTAAAACTTCCACTGACCTGATCTAAATTAGGTCAGGTTTATGTCTTCAGTGAAGAATTGGGCTTAGTATCTCTTGCCAGGAACAAACACCAGAAATTACCTGTAAATATATTCTGCAGCTAATGTTTTGTAGTCACAACAGACTACCAGGTATTTTTAAATGTCAAGATATACATACTTCTTACTTGAATGCATTTTTATTTGTTCACAGTTATGCAGCGCTTTTTCGTAAAGTTTGCAGAACTAAATTCAAAGACTCCACACAGTCCAGTCTTTTATTCCCTCCTCTCCTTCCTATGATACCTGTATTTATTTCTTGAGTTCCTGCTGTCTTTCTGGTGTAGCTGGAAAGCATCTTGGTATTATACTGTTTCCCCCCTAAGGAGACTTACCAGGGTTGTCTGATCCACTCACAGATCCTTAGGTAAAGAAAAATGGTTGGTCTAAACTAGTTTAGGTCCCGATTGATTACAGAACAAGCACTTTAGCCCAGAGAGCGGAGCCAGTAACTAGTGGGTCATCTTCCCGAACTGTTCTGACAGCATGCGAGGTGTCCGTAACCCGCGGGTGAGGAGCTGCTGACTTCACTTCCCCCCGCACTCCTGTGGGTGCCCATGAAGTCAGCAGCAGAGGATGCTTCCGATGCTGAAGTACACGTACATGTGCGAGCCACAGATGCTTTGTGTTTGCGTCCAGCTGCTTGTGACAGATCCCTTTTCTTTCTGGAAGGAACTTTATGGTGTATGCGGCCAGCCATTTTGATCACTGCACGTGCACTCGTTTGCCATCGTGCAGGAGAGACCAGAAGTTGTTTACAAACGATCTACTCTATTCTGAGCCCGGATTAGTCTCTACATGCTCACAGTTCCTGTGTACCTCTTCAGGAGACGTAAAGACATTGTGCTATGAATCAGTGCTGTTCACATTCGATCTAAGCATTTAAGAAATCCGCAGTATGAATTGTTAACGTTAATGTTTGTTTGCTGACTTTTATCATAAGCAGGAGAAATCTATAATCGGTATGTTATACAAAAGAATCAGAGGACCAAGGTTTCTAGCTAGTCATACTGCCTTTCTGAGTATCTTAACTGTCTTGATTGGATGGTGTTAATTTGTTGTCTGAGACTGTTACGGTGATTGTATTGATTTATTTTAAAATATGTGGCAAGGAAGATTGTAATAAAAGCATTTGAAAACATTTAATATACCATACACACACAAATTGATAGGTCCTATTTTTTAATATGTTAATAATTTCAGAATTAAACAGAACAAGAACAGTTTGATAGTCTTGCTAAATAAAGTGGAT